CAAGAATGATTTATGAGGTCCAACTTGAAAAGTAGACAGTTCGGATCGTTAAAGTTTGATTTGATGTGAACCCACAACTAATCCTCATTTTTATAAAAAAAAATAAAGACCCTTCCCTTAAAGGTTTCCTCTCTCTCTCTCTCTCTCTCTCTCTCTCTCTCTCTCTCTCTCTATATATATATATATATATATGGCCCTTTCGATGCGGAGCCCTTGGCAGTCGCCTAAGCTGGCGCCCGCCATACACGGTTGGCCTTGGTTGACTTACATCATCAATAACAAACAGAAAGTGATGTTGTTTACGTAGCTTCACAAGCTCAGCCATTGGTGCAAAGTCTCCATCCATACTAAACAAGCTGTAGTCGACCATAATTTTAATAAGTTATAGAAAAGATAACAGAAAACATAAGAGACTTTATATATATAAAAGATTGATGTTTTTTTTATTTGGTCTCATATAAAGATGAAACTGATTCGAACTAAAATATAGAAAGTACGTAGAATTGTAAAAGAGCATATGACTTGCGTACCTATCAGTCACGACTACTTTCTTCCTCATTGTTCAACTTGATCTGCATGTCAAAGCACAAATGTATTATGTATCGATCCCATAAACAGTGGCATACAGAAGGATTGAAACAAAAGCTTAACTAAGACGTACAACAACGCATTAAGGTGAGCCATGTCATAACTAAGACGTACAACAATGCATTAAGGTGAGCCATGTCACCATCGATTATCGACACATGGTTCAATTCGTCAGAAAAAATGGCAATCTTTTCATCTGGTAAAGCTGATTTTTTCGCAGCCAAGAAAGAGCCAACAGATCCCAAAGCTGCCATCAAGGCTACATTTACATTGGCAGCACATCCTGTAGGACAAAGAAGACAATCCTACAAGTACAGTGGATGGAAAGTTAAACAAGATTGCATCAGTTTTCAGCTAAAACACATATAGATAGAAGAGAATTCAAACAAATCATAGAGCAAATACTTTAGACCTCCAAACAACAGTCCAAGGGTTTCAAATAAAAACTCAGATACCTAAAACCAGAATGAGTGATAAATCATGAATGACAAATGGTGAAAGACCTTGTGTACTATTTTACGTGTTATAACACAAAAGTACCGAAATGATATGGTTTATATGTCTCACTTTTAGAGTATATACAAAATATGCGTGTTATAATTTGAGTTGAATAATAATGTCACGTGATTGTGCTCTGGATACACTAAAAAATTATTAACTGTAAAAGGCATGGAATGAATAACATCGTCCACTTAAAGAAGTGAAAGTAGTGAAAGAAGTAGTTTCTACGTGGTATCTTCAATTGTAAGTGAGAGGTTTTATGTTCGAATTTGGTAAAGGAGCGTGCTATTCACAAACCCCTTTTTGCTTCTCACACACTTCTTGTTAATTTCTGTCATTTGATCTTCTTTAATTCAGTCAATCCGACGACCGCAAATTAAGATGGTGTGTATGAAGTAAAAAGAGGTATGTGGATAGCACACCCCTTTTGTAAATAACAAGTTTGATATCAAATTATTAATTCACCCTTTAAAATATATTATATAAATAAAAGAATAAATATAGAGATTGATATAAGTCCAATTTTTTGAGTCAATAGTAGGAATAATCCAATTTATTAAAATAAGTCCAATTCCTTAAATTTAATTATAAATAATTATCTCTTCAATGAAAAAATTTATTGTAAAATCAAATTTCTTCCTAATTATCTCTTTGATTATTTCTTTTTATTTATTTATTTGTTATTTCTTGTTCTTCCACTTGCTTTATCCTATTTATAGATTTCATTTTAATTTTTATAATCAACCTATATTACAGGTTAATTGTATTTATCTACCTATATGATAGGTTTTTTCATAGTCAACCTGTCACAAATTAATGTGTCTTGCTTGTAGGTATATTATGTTTTTTCAACCTTTTAATTAGGTTTCATATCTCACTTATAGGTATAATATACTTTCATAAATTTGCTACTTGAGTTAGAGTAGAATGTTTTGCAGATAGATTTATGTTAGTATATTAGTTTTTTTGTTATAAGATATTAATTAGATATTTTGGAGTTGGAAAATGCATAATATTAAAAGATTTTAATTGATTTTTAATATTTTTAGAAAACATTAAATGAGTGTGACAACCCGTTCCAAATTTTACGTTTTTATTAATTTTAAAAGCGTGAATTTACGAAAATGCCCTAGAGGCAAAGATTTTGACTACCGTTGACCAGCATCTAGAGAGACGTATGACTTATTCTTTTAGCGTATCCTCATAGTACTCGTTGGTGCGAACGCATAGGCGAAAACCCTTGCAAGTCCGGATTATAACGATATAGTTATGGATGTTTGAAGTTGGTTATTGAGAGTTAGTTAAAAGATTAAGAAGGACCAATTAGATGAAAAAGAAGAAAAGGGCAACAACCCAATTAGAAATGAGAAAGAAGAAAAAAAAAAGGGAAAAGCTGGGAGCCTTTCCCGTGGGTTTTCCGTCCGTACACCGCCACGACCATCTTGAAGCTCTCATTCCCCTCTACAAAACCCACCCAAGAACCAACTTGATTAACCACGGTATGTGGCGGTTTGAGGCCACGAAAGTCGACGAAAATCAACAATGCTCCGGCCACCCTTTTCAATTTTCCGGCGAATTGGCAAAGCGATGGGTAATGCCACCACTTGGGCTTTGTAGCCCATCATCCCAGGAGCAAAACCCAACCAACCTTGACCCCATTGGACCACCGTAGACGACAAATCGACACTAGGAAGTTTTAGGCACCCATCAGCTTTATGGGCAAAATTGACCATCTTCCGTCCACTTTTGGACTTCGTGGTAGGTATGAAGGTTGTTCCTCTCTTTGAGATCTTCATTCCTGTAAATTTTGGTAATTTTTGGAAATAATTGAATTTTCTGGCGAGTTGGGACGGCCGACCGCCACCCTCGGCGGCGAGTGCAGCGGCAAGCGGCCAGTGGGCCGCCAATGCTATTTTTATGCTATGTTAAATGTCTTGAATTCAGTTTTGATATTTGAATGTCGTAGGTTGATTGTTGGAACCTAAATTCTCTACTATACATTAATACGTCATTGTATGAATCGATGATCCGACTGTTGGATCGTCACCAAACTTTAATAGGTTTTAGTACGTAATATTTGAGGACCATAGGAACTTACGGATCGGGAATCCGCTATACGGATCTTCCCGAATTGAATTTGTAAGTTCATGAAATAAAAGGTTAACCGCCACTTAGTTTTGGCAATTGGCGGAGATCCGACCGTTGGATCGTAATGGGACTTTAGGATGTTGTTCTAGAGGTATAATATGGATCTTTAGAAGAAATGGATCAGAAATCCGTGATGCAGATCTTCCAAATTGAAATACGTAGGGATGTGTTTTATGTAAATTGTGTATTTTATCGGTACAACTCTGAGATGTGATTTGATAATTGGTCATAGGCGACGATGGTTCGTGATGTCTCGACATGCGTGCTAGGGAGTCGTGGCACGGATCTAAGGTGAGTGGGTCTTTTCCTTTCTACTGTATATATTGATGAGTAGATTTTATATTATATATTTTACCCTAATCTTAGTATATTTTGGTTAATATATTGGAAGAATTTTGATACTTTGAAGTGTATTTTTAATATAGGACTTTCGACTTCCTTTGGAGCAAAACAGGATCAAATTGACGAATTTTAGAGTAATTCTAGTTGGAGGACGTTCGTGAGTCACTTAGCTTGATCATATCAAAATTTGGGATTTTTCCACCAAGCGGTTATTTTCTGGCGATGAAATAAAGAAGCAGTGCGCAGTGCTGGAAAATAACGTTTTTGGGCTTAAATGACGTTTTTGGAGCCCAAGATAACCTCGGATGGGTTCGTGGCCTTCTGGAAAAGTGTTCAGAATATTCCAAACATCAAATCCAGCTATATTGGGCTAGTTTTGGAGCAGCTTATGGGCCAAAACGTGGCTGTTCAGATTTTAGACGAATTTTACTATTTTTATTTAGGGTTTTTATTAATTTCAGTTTGCTAGGGTTTGTGTGGTGGCTGAGTAAATATATTGCTTAGCCGTCTATAGTTTCAGACTACGCTTTATTTTATGCAATATTGGAGACAGAGAGAAGTGCTAGGGCTTTGAAGATTTTCTACTTGAAGGTGTTTTCAATCCTTTTCTTAAGAGATATTTCTATGATTTCAATTATGAATATGCGGAACTAATTTCTTTTGTTAGGGCGAAACCTTGAGCCTTAGCATGAATATGTGATTTTTATTTAATTACTTATGATCGATTGCATGCGTACTTTGAATTGTTAATCACCGGGATAAAAACTATCTAATTGTCGTAATGCTTGATCACCATTAGGATCTTTAGAAAAGTAATTTGATGCAATTTTGGTCGGAAGGTTCCCTGAAATTGACGCTGGCTTCTTGTGATTAATAATTGTAATTTCTCTTAGGATGAATATCACGTCTTAAGGATTGCATGGTTTTTCAAAGGATTTTCATAAAGCATAATGAGTCTTTCATGTTTAGATTTGATCCGAACGTCCGGACGGGTTGCATGTTAGATATACGTTCTATGTTGGAGGTTCCAAGTAGAATATGAATTAGGAAAATCTAACCTTCAAAGTAGCATGTGTAGATCATAAGTAATTGGTAAAAATTCATAGAATTGCTAGGTGATAGTGGAACCCTAGTGCTTTCTTAATTTTATTATCCCAAAACTGTTTTCTTTCTCTCTAGCTCTAATATTGCAGATTGTTTATTTTAATTCATTAATTTCGTTTTTATTTTAATTAGGTTACAAAATCAATCACTTCAATTTCTACTTTACAATAATTAAATGGAATCTGATTAGTTCGAATTATTTAATAATCCCTGTGGAGATGACCTTGCGAAATCCGTTTTTACTACAATAACCTTGTAATTCTTGCAAGTAAAATAGGAGATTTAAGCCCAACACATGAGTATTAAAAATCCTATCAAGAAAATGGCGCCGTTGCCGGGGATTATTTAAAATAATCCCCACGAATCAGATTTTCAATTAATTATTGCTGTTTATACATATAAAAAAAATATTTAATTTTCGTTTATATTTTATTTTTACAGATTACAACAGTACAACAGTACAGATTTCAGAAATCTGTGCATGGTCAGCACCCGTTCAACAGTGCAGAAATTGATTTCACTTGATCCAGAATTTGAGCAGCATTTAAGGAGGAAACGCAGAGAGCAAAATTTGCAGCGGGTTCGTCCTCTGCAGGAGAGGTTTCTGAAATCAGTCTTTGACCTGCACAACAAAGAAAAAATGGCGTTTGTAATTCCAGAGGCAGGTCTGCCCCTGGGTGATTCACTGACTGCCCATTCCACAAATATACCCAGTTGCATTACATATCCGGCAGTGGAGGAAGCGACTGCATTTGAAATAAAACAGCACATGTTGAATATTCTACCTACATTTCATGGGTTATCATCTGATGATCCTAACATGCACATTACAGAATTTTTAAGGGAACTTTAACGAAAAGCACCCGGTACTGTTCACTTTAACGAAAAACCACATTTTTACACTAAAAAGTTAATCATGGTACTATTCACTTTACTCTTTATTTTGTCCTTATCATTAAAACTCAAAACTTTCAAGCCCTTTTCATTAGTTTTCCTAATTTTTAATGGGGTGCAAAATCATTTTGGTGAGGGGATTTTCAGCCGAATCTATTAAGCTGCGATTGTTTCCATACACTCTAAAAGATCAGGCACGGAGATGGCTCCCCACACTCCCATCTGGAAGCATTACAACTTGCGCCCAACTTAGTGAAAAATTTTTAAACAAGTATTATCCAGCTTCTAAGACCCTTGACATGAGAACTCAAATTTTATCGTTTGCCCAAAAACCAAATGAAGAGTTTCACGAGACGTGGGAGCGGTTTAAAGAGTTGCTTACAAAATGTCCACATTCGGGTATTAACACTACTGATCAAATGCATATATTTTTCAGAGGTTTGAATATGACTACAAAAACTCTTGTCAACGCTTCATGCGAAGGTTCGTACAAAGACAAAAATGCACAAGAGGCTTGTTTGTTATTTGAAAAAATGGCAGCAGATACACAGCACTGGGCAGTTGAACAGCCACAATCTAGGTCTATTTTTGAGATGTCTAACGGTTCTCCATATGTTACAGCACAAATTGAAAAAATGGAGAAAAGGCTTGACGCAAAATTTAACATGTTATTACAGAGAATGCCAGGTTCTCAGGTTGCTGTACAGCAACCCTTACAAGCTGCCTGCAGCATTTGCAACATGATAACTCACGATTTTATGAGCTGCCCACATAAATATGTTTCACCAGATTTTACAGCTGAGCAGGTTAATGCATTTAACAATTTCCAGCGGCCCAGATATGACCCATACTCTAATTTCTACAACCCCGGTTGGAGAGATCATCCTAATCTAAGGTGGGATAAGGAACAGCACACTAGGCCTCAATTTCAACAGCAGGTACAGCAACCTGCCGCACCTAAGGCCGCTTGCGAGGTTGCAATTGAAAAATTGGCAAATACTACCACTCAAGAAATTCAAAATCTACAGGCAACAGTGAAAAACATCGAAAAACAGATGGGGCAGAATGCTTTGCAGGTTTCTAGAAGGGCACCAGGTACATTTCCCAGCCAAACAGAACCAAATCCTAGGGGAGGTGCCGATTGCAAGGCAGTCAGAGTTTTACGTTCCGGCAAAAGTTTTGATAACAGGGAAGAAAATTGCATTCTAAATTCGCGGGTGGATTCACAGCCTAAAACAGTTTCGGGAAATGTTGAAAAATCTGCCAATTCAAAAGATTCTGAACAGTCTTCGAACAGTTTCAAAAATAGTGCAGATATTGTTGAGGATCGTGTCTATGAGCCACCTATGCCTTATCCCGAATGGTTGAAGCCTAAAGTTAAAGATCAACAATTGGCAGATTTTATAAAGACTTTGTCTAAGGATCAGATTAATCTGCCGTTAATTGATGCCATCAAGAACATTCCGTCTTATGCCAAGTTTTTGAGGGATGATTGCACAAAGAAAAAGAAGCTTTTGATTATGAGAAAGTAATTCTTACGGAACAGAGCACCGATGTTCTGCTTCACAAATTGCCCCCAAAGAAACAAGATCCAGGGAGTTTTACAATTTCATGCACAATTGGAAATTCTCATTTTAAACGTGCTTTAATTGACTTAGGTGCTAGTATTAATTTAATGCCTTTTTCTGTTTTTCAGAGACTAGGACAAGGAGAAATCAAGCCTACATTAGTTATTCTACAACTAGCGGACCGATCAGTTGCTTATCCAAGGGGTATTATAGAAGACCTAATTATTAAAGTGGATAATCTCTATCTTCCTGCAGATTTTGTGATTTTGGATATGGATGAAGATATGCAAACACCGATTATTTTGGGACGTCCTTTCATGGCTACAGCCAGAACGTTAATTGATGTAGAGGCTGGGACACTTACACTTAGAGTGCAAGATCAATCTGTTGTGTTCAGTTTATTTGAAGTTACCAAAAGGCCAGGTGATGTGCATGATTGTATGCGTGTTGATGTGCTTGACAGCTTATTACATGCTGAAATTATGCCACGTTTGACATCTGATCCATTGTTAGATGTGTTGCATGGGTTTGAGAACAAAAATACAGAAGATGAAGAGGTCTTTGAGTTTGTTTCAGCTTTGGAAAGTGTTCATTTTCAACCCCCACGTTGGAGGCCCGTTTTTGAGAGTTTGGGGGAACCCAAAAAGTTCAACAGAAGAAGATAAACTGCTGCGCATTTTAAGGAGCCATCAAGATGCAATTGGCTGGACTATAGCTGACATTAAAAGGATCAGCCCTACAATTTGTATGCACAAAATTTTGTTGGATGATGGAGTAAAACCTGCCATTGACGCTCAACGTCGGTTGAATCCAATTATGAAAGAAGTTGTTCGTAATGAAGTTATGAAGCTTTTAGTTGCTGGGATGATCTATCCCATTTCAGATAGTAAGTGGATTAGTCCAACTCAAGTGGTGCCAAAGCGTTTTGGTATTACAGTTGTGAAAAATGATAATAATGAACTTGTGCCTACTCGCTTGACTACTGGGTGGCGTATGTGTGTTGATTATAGAAAGGTTGGCTAGTCGTGCTTTCTACTGTTTCTTGGAAGGCTATTCAGGGTATAACCAGATTCCAGTTGCCCCTGAGGATCAAGAAAAGACAACCTTTACTTGTCCTTTTGGGACTTTTGCATATAGAAGAATGCCTTTTGGATTGTGCAATGCGCCTGCCACGTTTCAGCGTTGCATGATGAGCATAATTACCGGGTTAGTTGAACATGTAGTTGAGGTATTTATGGATGATTTTTCTGTTTTTGGGGATTCTTTTTACCAATGTTTGCAGAATTTATCTCTAGTTCTGGAAAGATGCATTAAGACCAACCTGGTTTTAAACTGGGAAAAGTGTCATTTTATGGTTAGGCAGGGAATTGTCTTGGGCCACTTGATTTCTAATAGGGGTATTGAAGTTGATAAGGCTAAAATGGATGCAATTGAAAAGTTGCCACCCCCGACAACTGTTAAGAGTGTTCGATCTTTTCTTGGCCATGCCGGGTTTTAAAGACGGTTCATCAAGGATTTCTCCAAGATTAGCCGACCCTTGTGTAATTTATTGGCTAAAGACGCTCCATTCGTTTTTTATGAGGCTTGTTTGGAGGCCTTCAAGAAGTTAAAGACACTACTCACCACAGCACCCATTATTGCAGCTCCTAATTGGAGCCTACCTTTTGAATTGATGTGTGGCGCATCAGATTATGCAGTGGGGGCAGTTCTTGGACAGCGGACAGATAAACTTCCCCAAGTTATTTATTATGCTAGTCGAACCTTCAATGATGCACAACTAAACTATGCTACCACAGAGAAGGAATTGTTGGCAATTGTTTTTGCATTGGAAAAATTTCGTTCGTATTTAGATGGGGCTAAAGTGATTGTTTATACAGATCATGCAGCTTTGAAATATTTGTTGTCTAAAAAAGATGCTAGACCTCGATTGATACGTTGGATTCTTTTATTGCAAGAGTTTGACTTAGAAATGAAAGATAAAAAGGGTCGTGAAAATGTGGTGGCTGACCATTTATCTAGATTAATTATTCCCACAACTTCAGAAGAGGATTCCCTACCACTGAGGGAGAGTTTTCCAGATGAACAGCTATTTGCAGTCCAATTCCGTACACCATGGTTTGCTGATATGGTTAATTATTTGGTTAAAGGGGTAGTGCATCCAGATTTAACGTTGCAGCAGAAAAAGAAGTTTTTATCTGATGTGAAGCATTATTTCTGGGATGAGCCATACCTATTTAAGTATTGCCCAGACCAGATTATTCGCAGATGTATTCCTGAAGCCGAACAGGAAAGTGTTCTAAGGTTTGCTCATCATTTTGCTTGTGGGGGACATTTTGGGCAGAAAAGAACAGCAGAAAAATTTTTGCAGAGTGGGTTATTTTGGCCTACACTTTTTAAGGATGCATATAATTGGTGCAAGGCTTGTGATAGGTGTCAAAGAGTCGGCAACCAGTCCAAAAGGAATGAGATGCCCCAGCAAAGTATTTTGATTGTTGAATTATTTGATGTATGGGGTATTGATTTCAGGGGACCATTTCCATCGTCCCATGGGAACCAATATATTTTAGTTGCTGTGGAGTATGTTTCTAAGTGGGTCGAGGCCATTGCAGCACCAACTAATCAGGGGTCAGTAGTCCTGAGGTTCCTCCAAGGGGTTATATTTCCGCGTTTTGGAATTCCACGCGTTATTCTTAGTGATGGGGGGAAGCACTTTATTAATAAATCATTTGCTAATTTGTTGGCAAAATATGGGATTAATCATCGTGTGGCTACACCTTATCATCCACAGACATCTGGTCAAGTGGAAGTTTCAAACAGAGAATTAAAACGCATTTTGGAGAAAACAGTTGGTTCAACACGAAAAGATTGGAGTTTAAAATTAAATGATGCGTTGTGGGCCTACAGAACAGCTTATAAAACTCCTATTGGGATGTCACCATTTCGACTCGTTTATAGAAAAGCGTGTCATCTACCTATGGAGCTTGAACATAAGGCGTATTGGGCAATTAAAGAGTTAAATTTTTCATATGACTCAGCTGGAGACCAACGTAAATTGCAGCTCAATGAACTGGAGGAAATTCGTCAGGATGCTTATGAAAGTTCTCGCATCTACAAGGAAAGAACTAAGGCGTTTCATGATAGTCAAATTTTACGGAAAGAATTCCAGCCAGGGCAAAAGGTGTTGCTATTCAGTTCAAGGATAAAGTTGTTTCCAGGGAAATTGAAATCTCGCTGGACTGGGCCGTATTTGGTTACTAAAATCTTTCCTCATGGAGCAGTTGAAATATCTAATGAGGCTCAAGGCAACACATTCAAGGTGAATGGTCACAGGCTGAAACCATACGTGGAGTCACCCTTTGATACTGCATACGAGTCTTTGACTCTGAAGGCACCAGTGATCTAGCCATCGGACTTCCGCAACGTCTAGCTACAGACTTAAAATAAAACGCTTATTGGGAGGCAACCCAATTTTTCTAAACTCTTTCCTAATTTTAATTTTCGTTTGATTTTCTCTTTAAGATAAAAAAAAAATATATATATATATATAAAAAAAAACATACATAAAAAAAATATAAAAAAAATACATAAAAATACAAAATAAAAAAAAAATTTGGAAAAAATGGAAGATTGCATATTGATTTTATTTACCCAGTTTATTTGATTTTATTTTAATTTTTTGACGCATATTGGTTAATTGCAGGTCGCGAACGTGGAAAATAAAGCTCGTCCTATGCTGGAATCCTGCACCCAGCAGCAAGTCTAACGTTCACATCAACCACATCTACACTATGCTGGAAATTTAAAGCAATCAACATAAAAAGCCATTCACAGATGCAAGTTTGGGGGTGATTGTTGCAGATCCAGCACATAAACAGAATTTAGAGCAGTTAATTTTCTGCAGCTCAGTTGTGCGATGCATGGAGGAAGCACAATTAAATCACAGATCCATACACCACAGAACTGAGTACAGCTATTATTACCAGATCTACAACAATTCCACTTGCAAGGATACGAAATTTTACCTCCCAGATTCACCGATCTGGGCTCTTGGCAACTTGTACCGTATTGAAGCTAATCTTTGTCCACCTTTTTCTTTCCCTCGGATCTATCAGTGATCCGCCTATATCACACAGAGCACACCAATATGAGACTATGTTGAGACACATAAATTTTTTTTTTGAAAACCACACAGTATTCTGAAAGTCATAGTTTCTGCCGGATGAGTGTTTATACCTTCAAGGTTGCTAAGTCATTGCTGTTGCGATGTGTCCTGCCTTTTGTCTGATGGATATCCAGTTGAGCATTCTTTCTTTCGGATCTGTCCTGGATCCGCTTGTTCTACAAACATACCACACCAGTTTCATTACATGCAGGTATAATGAAGCAACGGTCTCACGGAATGGAATCCATCATGAACGGAGTACAAGATTGTTACCTTACTTATTTGCAGAGGCCGAGACATTTGTCATTTATGCTGCCTTCCGTAACCACTAGACCGGAAGCTCCAGGTTGTTGTCTCTCGGTTGTACGCTGGAGTTGAGGGAAAATTTTTCAGTCACAGTAGTGGTTATTACTCCAGTATCAGATCTTAATCAATCAATCCAAAGGGTTACGGTTTCTACCTAATAATTTGCAGATCCGTGAGTTTGGGAGCTCTTCGAGGTTGTCTCTTCAGTCTCTTGGTGCATCTCGGACACCTACAAAAAAAAAAAATCTGTGTAAGCTTCTACAGACTCATCATGAACATATAACTTACAGAGATTTTTCGCAAGCTGAGCGACATGTATTTTGACCTAAGTGGGCGATGCTTACCGTTGCCTGTGTGCAGTGGTCTCGATCTACAAGACTGTCACTCGAATCTGTGATGGCTTACGGCTTGGGAAACATGATTTTGTTGAGATGAGATGGAGATTCAGGGTGTTGTTCTTGTGTTGTTGTCTCGGATTTGAAATTATTGGGGGTCCTCAAACAGCTAAAACGACATGCATGTGTTAGATTTAATTCTATTTCTCTAAAACAAATAAATCTGAGACATGACCACAACAGATTGGAGGATGATTTTACCTTTGGCTGTCAGTTTTTCCGATTTTCTACCACGGATGGGCTAGTCAACAAAGGGGGAGGTACGTTGTTCAGTTGCCGGCAGAGAAGATTTGAGAGAGAAAGGGCTGCGAGGGCAGAGATCCGAGAGAGGAGGTGGCTGAATTTCTAAGAGACAGAAGGATTTTGCGTTTCTGAGAGCCATGATTTTAGAGAGAGAGTAGAGATGCATTGGGGTTGATGAAGAAGAGAGAGAGGGCTGAAAAATAAAATGGAAGGTTTGCAGGAAGAGGGATGCCGAACTGAGAAGGATTAAAAGCCTTTTTAGTTTTTCTAGAGAGACATGGGCCAATGGATTGCTCTTCACCTTTAATTTCGAATCCTATGGAGCTCCCCTGCCTGATGCTTGACACGTCTGCGCTACATCAATTTTTTATGCTTCCCTAGGCCACGGTTTGAAGAAAGGGGAGAGAGCCGTTTGGGCTCTGTGTTTGATGCCTGAAATAGACAGAAGACTGATGCTGCACGCCACTTTCCACTTGCATGCCAGCTGCATGCCTTTCAAAGCATGGCATCCAATGTTTTCAAATGTTGGTGCACGCCTACTGTACACATGAATTGGCGTGTTGGCAGGTTCTCAATGCATGGCCTATGCGTGGCTTTTATTTGGCCACTCATTTATCACTCCGCCACATCACATCCGTGTGCCATCATTCCCAGGCCACTCTTTGTCATGGTCATGCCATGATGTTTTCCACAAACGCCAGGTCTTATGCCTTCCTTTCTTTACATGTTATTTTATAGTTTCTTTCATTTTCTTTTTATTTTATATCATTATATATATATATATATATATCTTTATAGTCAAGCCCAGGTACTATCGTTCTTTGCTTTGGTTTTGTTACTCATTTTCCCTTTTATAATTATTATATGTTAGTTTCAGTTTATTGCATTTTTGTCATGTTTCTTTTATTTTCCACACCTTGAGGACAAAGTGTGAAATAAGTTTGGGGGTGGGAAAATAACATTTTAGGTTTTTATTTTTGTGTCGGTTAAAAGTTTTCATTCTTTTTAAGTTAATATCCATAGATTATTTTAAACGTTAGAACAAATGGACATGGTAAAGATTAATCCCACATTAGAGTCTTTGCTATTTAACGTTGCTTAGACACTAATTCATGAATTATACTTTGAACTTTGCACATCACACCAACATGGTTTGTGGGGAGTGAGATTGAAACACTTGCTTTTAGTCTAAGTTATTTTTAATTTTTGTTTTAAGTAAAGTCAGTTATTATTGTGAATAAAGTAATAATTGTCTCACCCGAGGTTTTGCCTAGTAACCGGGCCAGTCCTGCCTAATCAGCAGTGATTCTCGCGTCAAACGGTAGAATTTTGGCATGGGGCAGGGTGGTTAGTTGGTTTCGTAACCTTTTCAGCTCGGGTTAATAAGTCCTTAGGGGTGTTCTACACCTAGTGCCCTAAAGCCTTAGTGGTTTGGGAGTCATTGACCTAAAGCTCACTACATGGGTTGGATCGAAAGTTTAAGTGAACCGACATTGCACGACCACTACTGTTACTGAAAAAAAAAATGTTATATATGAAAAAAAAAAAGTGAAAAAAAAAAAGAAAAAGAAAGAGAGTTATATTTAAAGTTACTATGTGTGAAATAAATAAGGACGAGAGGTAAGGGTTTTAGTCGAGTCTCCTTAATTATGTTGGTTCACTTTACACCAAAGGAAGTTTGTGAATTCTTTTCTAATTGATTCTAAATGGCTTAGACTCTGTGGTGGGATTGGTTGGAACTTTTGAAAAGATGTTCTAGTTTTTGAAATTCGCTATGGATTGCAACTTTAAAGGTGAAAGTTTTTGTCAGTTAATTTTAGCTAGTTATCTAGTTTGTTAAGTTTTTATTTTTGTTTGAGTCTTGTTTTGCTTGAGGACAAGCAAAAAGCTAAGTTTGGGGGTATTTGATGAGTAGATTTTACATTATATATTTTACCCTAATCTTAGTATATTTTGGTTAATATATTGGAAGAATTTTGATACTTTGAAGTGTATTTTCAATATAGGACTTTCGACTTCCTCTGGAGAAAAACAGGATCAAATGGACGAATTTTGGAGTAATTCCAGTTGGAGGACGTTCGTGAGTCACTTCGCTTGATTGTATCAAAATTTTGGATTTTTCCACCAAGCGGTTATTTTCTGGTGATGAAATAAAGAAGCAGTGCGCAGTGCTGGAAAATGACGTTTTTGGGCTTAAATGACGTTTTTGGAGCCCAAGATGACCTCGGATGGGTTCGTGGCCTTCTGGAAAAGTGTTCAGAATATTCCAAACATCAAATCCAGCTATATTGGGCCAGTTTTGGAGCAGCTTATGGGCCAAAACGTGGCTGTTCATATTTTAGACGAATTTTACTATTTTTATTTAGGGTTTTTATTAATTTCAGTTTGCTAGGGTTTGTGTGGTGGCTGAGTAAATATATTGCTTAGCCATCTATAGTTTCAGACTACACTTTATTTTATGCAATATTGGAGACAGAGAGAAGTGCTAGGGTTTTGAAGATTTTCTACTTGAAGGTGTTTTCAATCCTTTTCTTAAGAGATATTTCTATGATTTCAATTATGAATATGCGGAACTAATTTCTTTTGCTAGGGTGAAGTTTTGAGCCTTAGCATGAATATGTGATTTTTATTTAATTACTTATGATCGATTGCATGCGTACTTTGAATTGTTAATCACCGGGATAAAAACTATCTAATTGTCGTAATGCTTGATCACCATTAGGATCTTTAGAAAAGTAATTTGAAGCAATTTTGGTTGGAAGGTTCCCTGAAATTGACGCTGGCTTCTTGTGATTAATAATTGTAATTTCTCTTAGGATGAATATCACGTCTTAAGGATTGCATGGTTTTTCAAAGGATTTTCATAAAGCATAATGAGTCTTTCATGTTTAGATTTGATCCGAACGTCCGGACGGGTTGCATGTTAGATATACGTTCTATGTTGGAGGTTCCAAGTAGAATATGAATTAGGAAAATCTAACCTTCAAAGTAGCATGTGTAGATCATAAGTAATTGGTAAAAATTCATAGGATTGCTAGGTGATGGTGGAACCCTAGTGCTTTCTTAATTTTATTCTCCCAAAACTGTTTTCTTTCTCTCTAGCTCTAATATTGCAGATTGTTTATTTTAATTCATTAATTTCGTTTTTATTTTAATTAGGTTACAAAATCAATCACTTCAATTTCTACTTTACAATAATTAAATGGAATCTAATTAGTTCGAATTATTTAATAATCTCTGTGGAGATGACCTTGCGAAATCCGTTTATACTACAATAACCTTGTGATTCTTGCAAGTAAAATAGGAGATTTAAGCCCAACACATGAGTAATAAAAATCCTATCATATATATATATATATATATATATATATATATATATATATTATTAACAATTACATAAATGTTTATAAATTGATTATTGCTTATGATTACTGTGAATGCTTTGGAATACTATTGCAAACTACGAATGGCTTGATCTCGGTTTAGGGTACGTAGGCAGTCTAACGAGACGTTAGATGCAGCCATATAATAAATGAGAATGAATAATCGAGACAATAGCCTAGTTTGGGAATGGGGCATTACAGTTTATGCATTATAGACCATTTGTTTATATGTTTATATATCTGGAAATATTATGATATGTTGAATTTAGACTTACATCCTGGTATTTCCATCTGTATATTCCTTGCACATGATTATTGTGAATGCTTCGAAGTGCAAAGGTGAACGTAGGACTCACAGGTAAGTTCAAGTAAGTTCAGGTAAGCATACGGTATTATTTGAATTAATGGGGTTATGGTATGACTACATTTATGTTTTTTAAGCAACTCTGACATTGTCGTACAAGTTGCAATAATAGGCAACTTCGGCATTGTCGTATAGGTTGCTTATGAATCATACATGTTGTATTAGATGCATTTAAAGCTTTTAAACCTGCACCCCGGTGTTAGTGCTTCCGCTTATGGCCAGGGCACAGTCCTTCACGTAATGTTCACCTCCTGCACCATACGCTCACCTTGAATTCGAGATAGGTGCACATGCCTGTCGTACAAACCACTATAGATGGTTCTGACTCGTAGGTGACTCTTCACGTGATCGTAGCACTTGAGCGTATTCATTTACACCCAGTCCTGTCGTACAGACCACTATAGTGGTTTTGATTCGTGTGCAGGCGTAATGCTGTATAGGTCACTATAGGTGACTCCGGCTAGATTGATTAATGATATATGATTATGTCGTATAGGTCACTATAGGTGACTCCGACTAGATTGATTGATGATATATGATTATGCCGTATAGGTCACTATAGGTGACTTCGGCTAGATTGATTGATGAGATATGAATATTCCATATAGGTCATTATAGGTGACTCCGGCGAGATTGATTGATGAGATATGAATATGTCGTACAGGTCACTAGAGGTGACTTCTGACTTATGAGCTAGCATTGATTGATGATATATGATTACAGTCATACAGGTCACTAGAGGTGACTCCGACTTATGAGCTAGTATATGTGATACGATATGCAATGAGCTAGCATATGTGATGAAATATATGATGAGCTAGCATATGTGATGAACTAGCATATGTGATACGATATGTGATGAGCTAACATATTGAAGAAATATGGGTAAGTCATACAGGTCACTATACGTGATTCCGACTTATAAGTTAACATCGATTGATGAGATATGGGTACAGTCGTACAAGTCACCATAAGTGACTCCGACTTGCGTACTAGTATGGGTTGTTAATCACATGATTATTGATATTGCTGATGAGATGCTGTGTTGTAGTATATTTATGAACTTTTTGGAAACTATACAATTGTTGTATCGAAGGGTTATAATGTTTTATATGGTTCTACTAAACTTTTATCTCCAGGGCCACTCACTCTTGTTTTGTTTTCACCCTCCATTTTTTATTAGCTGAGCTTTCTTATCATTGAAGATTCTTGGCGATTCTTACTATTAGAGATTCTTTCAGGGGTACGATTATTAATCCCTTCTACTGTACTTACTTATGATCTAACGTTGCGTGTGAAGTGGGTTCCTTCCCGCTCACCAGCGCACTCTGGTATTTAGGCACTCTTAGGTTTAAATTTATTCACATTTTTCCACATCTTCATACTTTATGGCTTCGTCACCCTCCAGGTGTCGGCCAGCACAGCTCGATTTAGAGTCCTAGTGGACATCCTGGGTCGGGGTGTGTCAATGAGTATAAAAGAAATAAATACATTTAATTAAATAACTGGACTCACTCCTAAAAACACTCTATGATTATTTTGGACCTGGATCTCAAAGCCCCTAAATTATACCTCCAACAGTAATTACCTCGCACGCATAGTATGTATGATATAAATCTAGAGTAAATCATACCTCTTTTTTTCTTTAGGTTTGC